TCCATGTTGCTAGATGGCCACCTCCACTCCACATGTCACAGTGACATTTTAATAACAGAGAAAGGAAGAAGTCTCCTGATGGCTCCCATCCCCAGGAGGTCCACATCAGATTTCTCCTAAGTCCCGCCGGTTAGGGTTGGGTCAGGTTTCCCTGTGCAAGTTTCAGGGCCTAGGAGATTGGAGGTTTCAGGCTTTTTCATGGAAAACCAGCTCAGCAGGGAGAAAGGCACTAAGTAGGTAACCAGCAATGTCTGTCACAGTGATGAATTCCATTTTCTCTCCCTACACAGTTGATAAAGGCTCACTTAGCAGCCTTATAGAGCTTGAATTAGATAGGCTAAATCATAACTGTAATAAATAGTATTTTCTAGAAACCAGTTAGTTTTGCAGTGGGCCTTTCCCTTCTACTCTGTGGTTGAGGGCTGATCCCACTGTTTCATAACAAACACAATATCTGACCATTTCCCTCTTAGAATTTGTGTGAGAACTCTCTGGCTGCCACGAAAATCTGTATCCATCCCATTTTGCATCGTACAGGATTGCCCTTCTGGCATCGTTACATTTTCTATATCTCCATATGTGCTTTTATATACGTATCTTCTGTTTTATATGAGCAAGAAAATTCTGTAGACGTTATGAGCCATGTTTGTTTTAGAGTCTGGAAGCTCAGAAAACTCCCTGACGTTTAGTCTGAGTTGACCCAGGACAACCAGTTGTAGCTCTCCTGAGTGGCAGAGGCTGGCTGAGCTGAACAGAGTCTGAGACACGAGTAAAGCTAAGAAAATGTAGATCCTTGGCTGGGAAGAAACTGTCTTGGCTCTGAAGGGTCCTAGTATGGGCACCTGGGATCGCAGGTTAGTGCTCCTACACTATATATGTATACACACACACACACACACATACACACACACACACACATATATGTGTGTATATATATGTAATATCCAAAGGACCTGCCATGATTGACTGTCAGAAGCTGGATAAAGTTGGAATCCTTTATTCTGTGGCTCTGTAGTTGTAATTGTCTAATCTGTAATTGTCCAACTGTGGTATTTTTAACCCAGTAAAAGTCACCTGCAGTAAATTTAAGCCGAGGTGTCACTGTGGGTACCTTTGCAGATGAAAAGGAGGGCAGGGGAGGGGAGGAGAGACCTGAGGAAGGAGGAAGGAAGCTTTAAATCTCACCTTGTATCTGTAGCAGCTCATTCAGTTGTCTGACATTCGTTGAATGCCTGCCGGGCCCTCAGTGCTGGGGACGGAAGGATAGATAAAGGCACTCACAGGGCAGTGAGAGAGAGTCATCGTCTCTGCCCCCTCCTCACAGCAGTAAAGCGGATACTGGAAATCAGCACTGGCCACCAGGGAAGTTGGGCTGGTTTTCCTTACAATTTTAAAGCACCTAGTTTCCAAGTTTGAGTTAGTGTAATAAAAATTACATTATGTCACAGTAATTGTGTTTGAACTACATTGTAGTGAGTGCCAAGAGAAGGCCTCACTACTCCCCTGTATATTTCAGAAGTAGATTTCAAAGCAACTCGTTACTTTGGGGAAATTTTTATTTCCGAGATACCTGCAATGATGGACTCAAGCCCGTGAATCTGTAATTGACTAGAAGCTGAATTTCTGAAAGTTGTATTTTAAATGTTTATTTTTGACACAGAGACAGAGCATGAGCGGGGGAGGGGCAGAGAGAGAGAGAGAGAGACACACAGAATGGGAAGCAGGCTCCAGGCTCCGAGCTGTCAGCACAGAGCCCAACGCAGGGCTGGAAGTCACCGCAAGACCATGACCTGGGCCGAAGTCAGGACACTCAACCGACTGAGCCACTCAGGCGCCCCTGAAAGTCGTATTTTAAATGTTAAAAGTCTTGTTGAAAAATGGATACTTCTAACAAGAAAAGAGCGTAATGCCTTAGGTACTTGCCAGAAAGAAAACAAAACCAGATTTCAAGCTTACACGGTCTTCTAATTTTCTCCCCAGCTAACCAAATCTGGCCCCACTCTTGGCTTTAATATGCAGACAGGATCACGTGAGCCCAGTGTGTGTCATCCAGGGAAGTCTGCATCTTTCCATTTGTTTCTGAGGTTGCCATCAATGGCCTCAAGTGGCCTGGTTTTGACTGCCACCTTTTACTCCAGATCTCAGTCCTGGCTTAACTCCCAGCGTTCTGAGGGCCAGCTTATCACCATGCTTCTTCCTGCGGGTGAAACGTGTCACAACACCAGCCCTGAGAACTCAGGACAGGCAGTGAGCTCCTGGCTTGGCACTCACAGAGGGAAGTCACGGTGAGAACTGGAAGCCGCGTGAAGGTAGAGGTCACTCCCATTCTGAAGTTCCTTGGCCATCCCTGCCACAGGGAGTACATTACCTGCCAGCTCAGAGCCATTCACCACCTTCTCGTTTCTCCCTGCAGAACTCTTTTCCCACTTCTCCATCTTCCCTACATCAGAAGCATCTGGAATATAGCCTGCTGCTGGTACTTTCTTCATCAGAAAGTCTCAGGAAAAGCATTTCCCTAACCCAAAAGCATTCACCTTTCCTAACTCCCCAGTTGTTCATGTTCAGCCACATAAAGAGTGGGCAAAAGCTTGAAACTGTAAATTTTCTTTATGTGGGCTCAACACGCAAGGTGCCCTGGATCAGGCATTCAAGGGTTCAGAGTCTCTGTGCTTGCTTCCATGTTTGAGGGGGAGCAGCCGGGGGTCAGCCTAGGTTGTGTGCTTCCCTGTGCTGGGAGCAGTTCCTGGGTATGGCTTCTCTATCAGTAGCCCTTTTCATAACTTGGGTCACAAGAATAGTTTGAGTAAACAAGTTAGAACAGTGGGGCCCACTAACAACTTGGGGCCTGTAAAATGGCTATTTGCAGGTATTTCCCAGAGTGGCCTAGAAGTGTCTGTGGGGTCCCATGCCCAGGGCTATGCCAGGTTATGGGGTGAGCCCAGCAAGTCTTCCCGGGGCATTAGTTTCCCAGCAAATTTGGAAATGTTTAACTGTTAAAACTAGCCAGTATATTTTGAAGGAGAATACAAAATTTATAATAATCTTAAGGTAAAATGTTTTAATATGAGAAACTTCACTGCAGGGTACTTTCTCAGATGTCTCCAAGGTTCAGGTGACTCTCTTCCAGTTCAGGCAGCTTTGATGGAAGTTTGAGAAACACTGTACTTAAGAAGGTACAATCATACAAAAAGGTGTAACTTTTTAAAGGGAGTTCTTTTATGGCACTTGTTAGCTTCTCAGTGTGCAGATAATTGACAAAGTACAGACATTTCTTCTTCATGTAATGTATGTGTCATGAAAGTTGTGTTTTGGGCTGAGATATTTGTAAATTGAATACTTCTAAATGCAATAGACACTTTTTCAGGAAACCTAAAATTAGTTTATAAATAATCACCCCCCGATTGCTAGTTTTAATAAGTTTGAATTGAATAAAATTATTTTTCTTAAAGTGGGTGTTTTCATATAGCTATAAACATCCATTGTCTATTTATCTTGAAAATAGCTCTTTATTAGCTTGGCTTTCAAAAAAATGTCACTTTTATCAAAACCATTGAATTTACCGGACTCAGACCAATGAAAATTTAAGGCTATTTTTATTAGTGGACTTGAATAGTCTAAGGAGTCTGTTTTAGATTTCTGGCCATATTAAATATTTAAATTATTTCTAATACTTATATTGTCTTAATGAAGCACGTAGAACAAAACAGTTCAGTCACGAAGTTCCTCAGGGCAGATGATTAAATAACCATGAGATTAGCCAGGCTAACTTCAAAGTTGATTTGGAATTTTGTACTATTTTTGGCACTAAGCAATTATATTAGTCAAATATAAATGTTCAGAGTACATTTTCATTAACATGCTTTCTATGTCCAGCTACTTCCAAATGCTTTCTTGGTCTTCATAGTGTCATTATTCAATAAATGTTTAATAGAAAGGCTCATTAAAATTTTATTTATTATACTTAATGTAAAAGAGTAGAAATGAAGATAAATGAGGTTGAAGTGGAATGGATAAAATGTAATTGAAATAATTTGGAGTACAATTTAAATAAACTTCTTTGTTAATGTGGAAGTGTTAAAAGTGTGTGACCACAACTTAAGATGTGTTCAAATATATCATTGTGGAGACAATATGAATATTGTATTACTGGCCTCTAGATTCTTTGAAGAAGACTGTTAGCTTTAGTCTAAAAACAGAAAAGATGAAATTGACTTAGTTTCCTTATTTATTAACTTAGTAAATATCTGGGTTAAACAACTACTTATACTCTGTTCAATGCCATATTGAATCTTGTATGATTATCATTGGCCAGATGGATATAGAGAAATCCTTAAAGAACATTTACATTTTGCAGTGATATATTTTTTACTATGATTATCATCTCTATTGCATGGGGGAAGGTGTAACAAAATGCCATTGACTTACTGCTGTAGTGTTAAATTATTGTTCTTATCTTTTTATTTGAGAGTGCATGCATGCATGAGCAGGGGAAAGGCAGAGGGAGGATAGAGAATCTTAAGCAGGATCCACGTTCATCATGGAGCCTGGTGCAGAGCTTGATCTCACAACTGTGAGATCATGACCTGAGCCAAAACCAGGAGTTGGGTGCTTAACTGACTGAGCCATCCAGGCACCCCAAAATAAATTTTTGAAGAAACCCTATTAATCTAAAATTTCTATCATTTAGTTACATAATATGGAGGAAATGTATGTTTTTCCTGACACATGATTAAATCAAGTCTTGCAAACTGGTAAATTTGATTTGACTTAAATATTGTTCATATGAAGATACAGTATTGGGTAAAACCGGAGTTATGGCTGTTAGTTTGTCTAATTCAGGGCACAGCACAGGAACAGGTTCTGATTAAAAACAAACAAAAAACACGTTGGCTTGGCTTGTATTGATTTGGCTGGCAGAGTGATGTTTGTTAACTACAAACAGAATTGCAGTTGTTGAAACGAGATTTTGTTGAATGTCTGTGTTTTTATTTCATTATTAGGCTATCAGCTGCAAAGGTCAACACAGTATATCGTATACTCTGTCAAGGAATCAGACTGTGGTGGTGGAATACACACATGATAAAGATACGGATATGTTTCAGGTAACGTCTTTATTTCTCTTGTTTAATGTGGTGTCCTTACCGTTAGTTTCGGGCATACAGTATGATAGTTCTGTATTTGTGCATATTACAAGATAATCACTACTGTAAGTTCAGCTAACATTTGTCACCACACATAATTACAAAGTTTTTTTCTGGGGATGACAGCCTTTTAAGATCCACTCTCCTGGCTACTTTCAAATATACAACGCAGTATTATTTACCATAGGCACCGTGCTGTATGTTACATCCCCATGACACAGCTTCCTCTCCTTCGTGGAAATTTTAGCACACTTTCCTTCATTTTGATATGTAGTCAGACCTTTTGGCACAGTAGCGTTTAGTGATGTACAAGGAGAAGGACATAAGGATAATATAAAAATTAATTCCTATTTGGTTTTTGAAAGACTAAGAAAAAACTTAGTTCTAAAATTGCAGACAAGCTACATTCTTAGCATTATGTGTATAAACACACATTATTTTTATTTTATAATGAAAATTTTTTAAACCAATCACTTTGAAAAGCAAACATGTTCAAAATACTTCCTAAATAACACTTGAATCAGAAAGGACATTGATACTACAAGTATAGGCCTTTTTAAAAAGAACTATAGAACATTATGTAGCAAAACTCAAGAGATGTGACTGACCTCATACTCAGAAGGAAATGTAAAAATTGAAGTGCTTTCATTATAGAAGGGAGGGAAGGAGGAAGGAAATCAAGAAACTAACCATTGGTCTCTAAGAGTTCTCTTTAAAAAAATGAAAGTAAGAAAATACAGAACAGGGTCATGAATAGTGGTTCCTATTAGTGGTATATAATAGGAAGTCCAAAAATAGATCAAAAGAAAGCAGAAGGAAGGAAATGAAAATGGAAAAAAATCATCAATTTAGGAAGAGGAGAATTTATAATATATTCAAGATTTGGTGCTTTAAAACAGCAAAAAAATTAAAATTAAGGCTAATAAAGGAAAAAAAAATCAAACTCAAATTGGGAGCCATGAGGTTTTGCATTTCTTTTTTTCTTTTTTTCTTTTTTTTTTTGAATGCTTTTATTTGAGAGAGAGAGAGAAGAGAGACAGAATGAGGGAGACAGAGGATCCAAAGCAGGCTCTGTGAGATCATGACCTGAGCCGAGGTTGGACACTTAACCTGCTGAGCCACGCAGGTGTCCATAGGCTTTGCATTTCTGTATGGAGAGTTAAATTATGAAATAAACGGTATTGAAACAAGTGTCAAAACAATATCATAGATCGCATCCTAAAGGGGGAATAAGTAGTTCTGAAAAATAAGAAAATATGTTCAACCTATCTCAAAAAGAGAAATGTGGCTTCGCATCGCACAGCCACATTATGTTTCACTTATCAGATTGGCAAAAATCTGAAAGGTCTTGTCAGAGATGTGGGGAAACCCTCTCCTACTCCTATAAACCGGTATGACCTGTGTGCAGCAGTGAGTTAGAGATGCTGGTGAAAATGAAAAATGCTTGCACTCTTTGACTCCGCTCTTCTGCTTCTAGAGATTTACCCCAAAGATACCCCTACATACATGCAGAATTACATTTTTACCAAGTTATTGCTCAAAGCAAGATTTAGTAGCCAAAGATTGTGAACAACCTAAATGTCCTTCAGTAGGGGACTGGTTTGGTAAATTCAGGTACAGCCATGCAGTGGAGGTCTCCAGGACTGTAAAAGAGAACAAGAAAAAGCTTGTGTGGATGTGGAAAGAGCTCCAAACATAGTTAATGAATGAAATACTAGTATTATTAATTATATTGAGCCATTGATAATATATTCAATTAAGATTATTTAATCTTTGGGGTGCCTGGGTGGCTCAGTCAGTTGAACGTCCGATTCTTGATTTCCGACTCTTGATTTAGGCTCAGGTCGTGATCTTGTATTTTGTGGGATCGAGCCCTGGGTTGTGCTCTGAGCTGACAGAGTGGAACCTGCTTGTCATTCTCTCTCTCCCTCTCTCCCTCTGCCCCTCCACAACTCATGCACTTGCACGTGTGCTCTCTCTCTCTCTCAAAATGAAACATTTTAGGGGCGCCTGGGTGGCTCAGTCGGTTGAGCGTTGGACTTTGGCTCAGATCATGATCTCACGGTTCATGGGTTTGAGCCCGCATCGGCCTCTGGGCTGACAGCTCAGGGCCTGGAGCCTGCTTCAGATTCTGTGTCTCCCTCTCTTTCTGCTCCTCCCCTGCTCACACTCTGTCTCTCTCTCAAAAATAAATAAGGATTTTTTTAAAAACTTTTTTTTTAAAGTAAACATTTTAAAAAAGATTAGCTAATCTTAAATAGTAATAAATTTGTTATTAAATATTAAATAGTATATTATTAAATATCCGCATAGATAATGATTTAAATAATGCTTATATGCATTAAAAATCTCCAAGAGGACAAATAAGACATTATTACTAAAGCAGCTGCCTTTGTGGGGAAGAGGTCTGGGTAGGGGGGACATGGGGGGCTATTTCACACTATGATTTTTGAACCATGTGAATGTGTTAGCTATTTTATAAAAAGCTAAACAATCCTAGATAGTGTCATAGTCCTAGATATGGACCAATTAATTAAGGGCCCCAAAAGTAGTATTTATCATAGACAAAATATTAACAGTGGCTTTAGTCATGCCATTCCATTTTATAACATTCTTTTTTTAAATTTTTTTTTTCAACATTTATTTATTTTTGGGACAGAGAGAGAGACAGAGCATGAACGGGGGAGGGGCAGAGAGAGAGGGAGACACAGAATCGGAAACAGGCTCCAGGCTCTGAGCCATCAGCCCAGAGCCCGACGCGGGGCTCGAACTCACGGACCGCGAGATCGTGACCTGGCTGAAGTCGGACGCTTAACTGACTGAGCCACCCAGGCACCCCTCCATTTTATAACATTCTAAATGTTTTTTCTTCTCCTTCAACCAGAGAAAATCTCTTCCTAAATAAATGCATGCCTACACTTCCCTGTTGATGATTTTAGTGGACTTCATAATAATTTTTTAATACTTCCCAAAATTATTTTCCAAGATTCCAAGATTTCCAAATAAATCTTCTATTTACAAGATTTCTTACATAGGTTTTTTACACGTCTTACCTAGAGAACAGATTCTCAATACCAAAAAAGCATCAAGAAAATTTTACAGTGGTCAGTGGTACAGTTTTTACCACTTTCTTTTTTGTTTGTTTTGTTTTTATTTTTTAAAATTTACATCCAAATTAGTTAGCATATA